CACCAAAGGAGCATCCTGCACACTGAAGGATCGGCTACCTCACCAAAGGAGCATCCTGCACACCGAAGGATCGGCTACTTCTCCAAAGGAGCATCCTCCAAACTGAAGGATCGGCTACCTTACCGAAGGAGCATCCTGTAGACCGAAAGATCGGCTACCTCACCGAAGGAGCATCTTGCAAACCCAAGGATCGGCCACCTCATCGAAGGAGCATCCTACAAATCGAAGGATTGGGTACCTCTCCGAAGGAACATCCTAAGGCTTCACACTCGTCAGCTACGGGGTCAGCTACCGCATCAAAGGAGCATCCCAAAGCTACGAAATTCATACTCATCAACCACAGGATCAGCTACCGCATCAAAGGAGCATCCTGGAAGTTCACATTCATCATCCAGAGGATCAGCAACTTCAGCAAAGGAGTAGCATCTGAAAGATGACCGGGCAAAAGGGTTAACTCCTTCCCCTACCAACTAATTTTGTCGGCATATCAAACTGACAAATTAGATAGGCAGGTGAAGGGGGGGGCAGCTGTAGACCCCTAATTTTGCCCGGCCTCTCAAAATAAAAGCTAGGGAAACTTCATACAGTTCACCCGACTTCATATCAAAGAAAAACCAAGAAAGACCTCCTGCAACAAGACGGAGTTCACCCATCCACACAATAAAGACTAAGGAGACTTCCTACACGAAGATAAAGCTTGCCCGACATCTTAATGAAGGCCAAGAAGACTCCCTATATGAAGATAAAGCTTCAACGGACACACATCGACATCAAACGACGTCCGAAAAAGGAAAGGAAAGCTTCCCGGGGTCCCAGAACACAAGAGCTGCTGAAAACAGGTCGAGACAGCCGTCCCAAATGACACTGGCCGTCCCAAACTTGCCAGGGGTGGAGTCAAGAACAAAAATTTCAACTGGGACGGCCATCCCAAACACAACTGGCCGTCCCAAACACAACTGGCCGTCCCAACCTGACTCAGTGCAAATTTTGCATTTGGGACGGCCGTCCCAACCCAGACGGCCATCCCAAAGTTCCAGGCGAAAAAAGGCTATAAATAGGAGGCCCTTAGGTCATTCTCCACACACCTCAGACCCCAGACAACTCCAAGACTTGTCTTCTTCTCTCCCTCCTTCGAATGATCTTTCTGATTGCCTTTAATAGGTAACAATCAGTTAAGGAATTTGTATTCCGGCATTCGATTCTTCAGTAAAAGTTTAGTCGAGTCGATATTATTTTCGAGAGGAGAGTCATTGTAGAGCGAAGGATTGCCGCAAAGCATCCTCTGTGTAAAAGACTTATAATATAAAGCTTGCTTCGGAGGTTCTTCTCAATTCTCTTCTCTTTTACCGCTTTATTTATTGCTTTTTGTATGCAATGTAGATAAAATCATGTAGATAGTCATATTTAAATACTGTATGAATAAAAGAGGGTAATAGCGTAATTTCTCGTAATCTTTACTTAAATGAATTAATCCGTCATAGGGAACCCGAAAGGGGCGTTGTGGGGTGCTAATACCTTCCCCACACGTAACTAACTCCCTTACCCGACTCTGGTTATAATGGCCAAGTTTGGTTTTTATTAAAATCAATGCCTTTTTCTCCTTTTCCAATGTTTATGGTTAAAACATTGGTGGCGACTCCAAAAGAACCCTTTTCGAAAACCTTGCTTCTATTAGAGGATAGTTCAGTGTTGAGCGCCTCGGAAGCAATGAACATATTTTTAACAAAAAACGCGAGTCTCAACCATCTTTTCGCGACCGCTCGCATTAACGTTCGAGACGTCCCAGGATGTCGGAACGGACGGCGGCGACATTTACTGAACAAAATCTGTGAAATTGAATCGCATGTGACAAATTATTATAGACTTGTGTTCTTGACTTGGTTTAGCTTGTGGATGTCTCTCGGTTAAGGACTGAAGCTTGCAATCACTTTGTTGAACTATATGGTGAATGCTTAATTGATTAATTAGGTTTTCACAGTGTAAAAAATGCAGTAGTCTTGCAATCTTACTTACACCGAATCATGTTCATAGTTCTTGTTCTTGCTTTCTTTAATTTTCTGCATTTTACTGCTTTGACTTTAATGTTTTGATGTGTTTAAATGTTTTATAGTCACGGTAGCTAGGTTTTATTTCTTTGATTACTTGTTTCAATCTCTTTTGAAGCTTAGTTTTAGGTTTAGATAGGTTTTATGGTACTGTTTTAGGTTCTGTCATAGATTAGCATAAGATTAGAATAGCTTACGTGTAGCTAGGTTCTCAATTTAATTTTCTGCACTGCAAATCCCCCTTGAATATTGAAAAACTCATAAATATACATTGGTGCACTCATTCTAGTACTAGCAAATCACATTTACTACTATTTTGAACGTTTTGACCGAATTGATCACTGTCACTCGGTCAGGTTTGTAGCCACGCGCATGAAAACACACTCACACATTCATCTCACGTTTTAAAACCTCAAAATACAAAAATAATTGCATTTCTCTTGGTCAATCATACATTTTATACACTGCATTCAAATCTTGACCGAGACATCTCGTCATAATTTCATTTTGACCGAGACCTTTTCATTTTGTTGATTTTCTGACCGACAGTACTGCTCATTACGATCATTTTTCATTTCAAAAACTCAAAACTCAAAAATAATTACATTTCACTTGGTCATTCATATATTTTACACCTTGCATTTTATTATTGATCGAGCAATTATTTTTACATTTTGTTTTGACCGATATCACATATTTCTGACTAATTTTGGTGTGTTTCTGACCGTGGTCATGTTCATCACGGTCAGATTTATGAATTTGGTTTAATTTCATTCTTTGCATTATTTTTCATTTCTATTAGCATTCCTCTCGGTCAACTATGTATTTTGTTCACTGATTTCAATTTTTGATCGAGACATCTTATAGTATTTGCATGTTGATCGAGAGCACAAATTTTTGACTGTGATTCCTGACTATTATTACTATTCATGTTGGTCAAATTTGCGATACTGACCATGGTTACTGTTCATCATGGTCAGATTTGAGAATTTACATTATTTTTGTTATTCTGCTTATTTTTAGCCATTTTTGCATTCTGCAGTATTTTCATTCACTACATATTAGGATTTAACCTTATTTTAGTTTAGTCTAAGATTGTAAATTTAATTTTTAGTTTAGTTCCCCATTGAATCATTCATAACTCAATCATATACTCTTATTACTTCCTCGGATTGAAACTCTGGTTCCCATTGTACTGCATTATTACTGTTTTAGGGAAATTTATTTGAAAGTGTTGAAACCGCGACAAAAATCTTCACCTTTCAATAAGCTGGGTTTGTAATTTTTTCTGACTATGACGCACAACTTGCTCCATCTTGTTTTGATACTAAAGGTAGGACAGACTAAAACGAGGTAAACGAACCCATTTTACCATCACTATTTAAACACAAATGTTAATGAATTGAAACTATTAGAAAAAAAGAGAGTAATAAGATCTTATTAACTTTATATTATATTATAAGTTAGATAGCTATAAAAAGAAAGAAATATCTTTTATTATTCAAGATAACTATAACAATAAACAAATATCTTTCATTATTCAAGAATAATTACATGTATAATCATCATTCTCCCTAAAACTTAGGTAGCTATAAAAACAAAGAAATATATTTTATTATTCAAGATAACTATAACAATAAATAAATATATTTTATTGTTCAAGAATAATTACATGTATAATCATCATTCTCCCTAAAACTTATTTATATTTAAAAGAGCTACAAATATATATAATTTATTTAATTGGTCTCCTTATTTAATGATGGGATGATTTTCATGCTAAAGATTACCTCTCATGTCATCATACACTAACATGCATAATAATAAAATACTAAATTCTCCTCCCGAAACTCACACACCTTCAATTAGACTCAAAGATTCACACATGTTTAAAGCTATCAAAATGGGCGGTCTAGCTCAGCTTGACCTGACCTTATAGACTAAGTAAAAAAAGATTAATAGTCTAGCTTTACTATTATTTTAAAATGAACCAATACTTTTAGCTTAGTTTGCACTTATGTTAGGCCAATAGGCTAACAAGCTAATTTTGGCCTCATTGAATTTTAAAAATAATAATTAACATATCTATATCAAATCAATTAATTAAAAAAGTTAAATAAAAAAAATATTTTTAAAATGTAAATTATATTAAAGAAATTAGTTTTTATTTAAGTTATAATAATTTAATATATAAATTATAAGAGAATGTATTTATTTAATCTTAAAATAAGAATTAAAACCTTATTCTTCATTATCATTATTTATTTTTAGTAATTTATTAATCTAAAATAGTAATTAATCTTAAATATGAGATATTGGAATAAGTGGTTATTAGAGTTATAATGATATTTATTCTTAGCATAAGTACCGCAGGACATATGCCTATAAACTAGTTTGACATAAGTCCATGTAGGTCATGATCCAATTAGTTCGGACCATGACCCAATTTAGGTGATAAATATTTTTGTCTAATCTAACCTATTGCTTAAACCTTTCGAATCGGTTCATTGACCTAAACCTATTTTGACACCCTATAAATATCACACACTATCTTCCCTACGTAGATATATCAGACATAATATATAATTGAAACATATTCTCTCCTAAGAGAGTTAATTCCTCTCCGTTCTTATTTTAAATACAAAGATTAATGAAGTGTAACAAAGAAAGAGAGTAATAACATCTTATTATCTTCATGTTATAAGTCATATAGTTATAAAAAAAAAAATTCTTTTATTATTCAAGATAGCTATAAGAATAAAGAAATACCTTTTTATTCAAGAATAATGATATGTATAATCATCATTTTCCCTAAGTTTTATTCAAAAGGAACAACAAATATATATACTTTATTTAATTGATCTCCCTGTTTAATGATGGGATGAGTTTCTTTATACTGGAAAAATAAGAAAAAAAATAAAAATTATTTAAAGACATTTATATTATTGTGTTTGGTCATGTTGCATATGTGCAGGCAGGGGCATTCGATATTGTTGGTTTGACATTATCACATTTAGATATTGCTGGAGCTCCCTTGTATGTGAGTTGAACATCTGATATTTGAACATTTTGACATGGTACACCACGACTACACATAAGAGTCAAACCTTCTTTAGTTGCTGAAGTTCCTTTAATGTTCTTGATGGAAACGTTGCTTATCCTAATTTTTGATGGATTCTAAGTAACCATAACAACAAGATTTGGAATAAATGTTAGTATTATAAATAACATTAGTGTGGGCTAAATAACGTAAGTGAACATGTAGATTAATAGATAAGAGATTAAATATACCTGCTTTGAGCATTGGTTCCATGGGCAATACTCTTGGTCTATGATTACAGGGTTCTGGACATTATCCATATTAATATCTTCAAATCTCATGTTAGTAACAGTGATTTGTCCTGGCTCGTTTGGCCAAGTCTTAATCCTGATTCCATTGGTAGTACCTTTCAAAGTGCAATCTATAATTGTAATCCTATCAACAGGTTCTTCTTCCTTGTACTTGCCAAGGCTTCCTATACTAATACCATGACCAGGTCCACATGTCACATTTTGGACAGTAACTTGTCTGCTACCGTCACCTAGTGAGACACAATCATCTCCAGTGGCAATATTTGTATTAAGAACATTCACAACATCGGATCTTCCAATGTGAATGCCATCCGTGTTGGCGCTATCACCTGGAGCACTAACTTTAAACCCGTCGAATGTCAAATTTTTGCAGCCCAGAACATTCACATGAAAATGTTTGCTATCCTTGCTCGTAATGCCACGAACTAATGAATTATTGAGGAAACTAAGAGCCATATTCTGTTAACATCAAAACAAATACAAAAGAGAACAAAATTTATATTTGATAAACACACATGTAACATTTTACTTGAAAATTTTGATAATAATATTTACTTACCATGCCAAGCAGTTTGCAATCAAAGTGTTTTGAACAGTCATTTTGTTTCCAAGCTGTTGCACCTTGACCATCAAGAACTCCACTACCAGATAAGGTTACCGCGTTAACATAGCTAATCCTGATCCATTTTTCATGACCAACATCACCTGGGTTTACAGGTGCTTTAAGTGTGCCATCAATTTGAATTTCAATAGGAGCCTTGCACGGACCTCTCAAATCTACTGCAGTCATCTGGTATGTGCCAGATGGAATCCAAATTTTCACAGCACTTGGAGATGCACAAGCTTCAGCCCAGGCACTTCCCAAAGCCTTAAAAATATGAAAGTGACAATTTAGTTAATTCAGTAAACAGGGTAATAATAAAAAGAAAAATCCCACCATTTCACATCAAATGATGTGTGGTTAAATATCGCAAGTTCATACCTGGGCTATATTCGCATTTTGTTTTCCTCCAAATCTTGATATATCAATATGAGATTTAGCTATAACAAAGTAAAATACAAAAAAAGATAAAAGTTTTATGAATACAGAGAGATTCATGATATTTATTTATTTATTTATTTATTATTTATTTCGTGGGTACCACACTTCTATCCCTGCTAAGTGAATTGATTATGGTGAATGTTTTGGCTTTATTTATGTAGGAATTGCAAGGATTGAAGACCGTCAATTTCGTAAGCAACTACTATATCCATCCAAATCTCTCTTTCCTTCTATAACAGTTTCGTATATAATTAGGATTCAGTTATGAACAATTAACTTTACATCACTCCTTAACAACCTATTATTTAGAGATATATTTTTGATTCGTTCAAACGCGATGCTTACAACCCAGTTTTTAAAGGTGATCTCTTGGTTCAAAAAATCAGTTTTTTTTGTTTTTTTTCCAAAATATTTATATAAATCTTACTGAGTATTGTAGATTTTAACCACTCAGTCATGTCAACAATCCTTGATAACATAGAAAAACTATTTTAAATATTTATAAAATTTATATCTTTAATTAATTTAATCATATAATTATTTTTAATAATTATAAAATTTACCATTTCATTCAATTATTTGTTATTAAGTTATCTTTGTGATACATTTTATATGTTTAAATAGGTATCTCAATTGGTTAAATACAAAAAATATTAATATTTTCTTATGGGTCTTGAAATCTTTTTTTATAATATCTTATTAGCACAAGAGTTCTAATAACACTGTAAGCTAAGTAAATATTCTTTTATTTTTTATATAGTTTATTATATCCGTAATATATAATTTAATTATTATTAATTTAATATTCTAATTTTATAAGATACTGTTATTAAGTCAAATCCTGTATTACTTGAATTTGATGAAGAAAATAATATGTTTTTGATGAGAACTCATGAGGCTCATCACATGATATTTGTTTTATTTTTAAAGTGAATGTGAAAAATATTTTATTTTTACTTTTTGTGACTATGAATTGAATGTAGTCTTAAATATGTGTTAGTTATCATGGTCATTTATATGATAATAAATTAATTTTTGAGAATACATCACCCTAATATAATTATTTTACACTATCTTCTTGAAGTATATAAGAAATCCATTTAAAAAATAGAGAAAAATATTTTTATTAATAAAATGGTAACTCCAATTATTTCGTATGAATTTTACATGATGATAATGATAATTATGGTCGTATATATTACTCATTAATATTTTCTATACATTGATATTTTGTTCAATGAGATAGAATAATTATCGCATCATTGATAGGATATTAAGAAATATTTATTTTTATTTTATATAATTATGATATTACATATTTGTTTATGTTTTAATACTATTAAATTATTTATTTAAAGTTATTTAAATTCAGAATATTTTAAATCTCTTCTTACTTTCATACAATGAGAAATTAAATTTCAATATGATACATATTAAAATATATTAATATTACTTAATCATTTTATTTCTTTTCTATAGTTTACTTTAATTATATATGATTAATATATTTAAATCATATTTATTCGGTTATGTCCTCCTACTGTGATATTTATTAATGTAACCTTTTTTTTAATAAAATGATTTGTACAATTGAATATTTTATTTTTATTTTTAATTTGTATACTATTTATATGAATTGTGTTTGTAGTGATTATTATATATATATATATATATATATATATATATATATATATATATATATATATATATTCTTATTGATGTATCAAGTATTTGAAAATTGTTGTTATTATCTATTTAACAATGTTTTATTTTAATTAAATTACATAGAAATTATCTCTTTTTATACATCAATTGGAATACATTTTTATATTTAAAAATCTTATTATTGGTAATTATTTAATTTATATATCATTTATATCCAGTAAATGTGTAGTAAGATTTATTATTTATATTTTATTAAAATATAAAAACACATTATAATAGGATGATTATATTTTAAATATAATTTTTATTCAAAATCTTTATATATATATATATATATATATATATATATATTTTAAATGATTAAATGAACTGTGAAAAAAAATATCTTACTAATATAACAACTATTAAAATATGATTCTCAAAATATCTTGTTTTTATTATTATTATTTTTTTAATTTAATTAAAGGTTTTCAAAGATCTACTTTATATTATAAACAAGTGGTACAAACTCAAAATTTAAAATATATATTTCATTTAGATAAACTTAATAAAAAAAATAAGTTTTAAAGATATTTATTAAAATGTATATTATTAGATAGTGAATGCGTTAAGTTTATAATTATTTCCAAAAATTGTGATTATTAAATTAGCGTACCTAGGAAATATATTTTTCTAATTTCTGTAATATTTAGTTTAATATTATTATAAAGTTGTTTAATTGATTATGTCTCAATTAATATTCAATGAAAATATGTTTTGACATCAATTCATACATATTAAAACAACTAATGATAGAGATATGAAATATATTTAAACTATTATACTTTGATATTTTATATTTTGTATTACACATATATCATTATCATTGAAACACATGTTATTGCATATTAGAAATTTACGAATCAAACTAAACTTGTTGTGTTGACATGACTAGTTAAGCAATTCCAGCTCTATTATTAGATAGTTAAAAAATATTATGACACTCACTTAATAATCAAAAGATTCTTTAAACTAATGATTTATCATTTACTCTTTATTTACGAACTAAGTTGATGATAAGATTACGAATGAAGTTGATGATAAGAACAATTTTAGGAAGTTGAAAAATAAAAATGAATTTATTATATTTTTGAAACTGATATAGGGTAATATTTGTGAATTAATACACCATTTATATATTTTCTTATTTTAATTGATGCATCAAGTAGAGGATGATAGTTTGTTTCATCTATTAGTAACCATACACTTGCCAAATTATGAGTTAATTAATTTTATAAGAGCTCTTTTCAAATTAAGAAAACTTCTTTGGATAATGGTGATGAAATTACATCTCACATTTTTAATGATTATATTGTATCAATTGAAATTGATGCTAAATATTTTTAGCTTACGTTGATATACAAAATAGACTTACAAAATTATATAAACGGTTTAAAAATGATTGTAAAATAATTACTCATGAGATTAAAACTTCCAATCATTATTTAGGATTGTGAAATCATATACATTGTAGTACAAATTTGCAAGTTATCTTAGATAGTCCTATTTTACAATTTGTTTTCCGTCAGCTATAACTAAATGTTTTCCATTTAAAAGTTTTTTGGGTATATTATATAGTTTCTAATTATACCCTAAATGAACTTAAATGGTATATGTTGGATATAAATTCTTTTAATAATAAAGTACTTTTAACTATTAAACAAATGTTCTTTTATGATTCAATTGGTTAATTATCAGTTTTATGAATTCTTTTTTAATATTCGGGAGAAAATAAAAGGTTAATTAATAGATATATTGATTGGAACAAATTATCAAACTCTCGTATTGATCGTGTTAATCTCACAAAAGAATGAATTATATATTGAAAAGATAATTCATTTACAAAATTTAGTTAAACAGATACCAAATATATTTATTAACCTAAAATATAATGATAAGTTATATGTACCAATTATCAATCCTATAGTTAAAATTGATGTTTCAGTTTTGTATTCTAATACTACAAATGGTTCTGAAGCAGAACATAAGTGTTGTAACTCATTGGTTCCAAAAATTAAGAATCCTTAAATAAGAAAAATGAGTTAAAAGGCAAGATGAAAGCATGAAAACCCTAAAATATTCATATAACATAAATAATATATTAGTTCTAGAAGAAACTCAGGTACATAAAATTATTATAAAATTAAAAGATATCAATCATGTCATGAGTCAAATAATATGAAAAAAAGTGGAATCAATATTGATGATATTTTTCTTCATATAATATAACGCTAAATGGTGTTTACGATAGAAAAAACCAAAGTATGTTAAAGATTGTCAATAAAGAAATAGTTGGACAAAATGGAAAGATGAAATCAAAGATAAATATACTTGTTTGGTAAGTGATTAGGGTTTTGGACTTATAGTTTATACACCTGAAGGTATTAAACCAACACTACAAGAAAAAACGCTATTAGTGACCGAAAAAATCGGTCGCTAATGGCCAAAATTCGGTCGCTATTCTGTTAGCGACCGAAATTAGCGACCGAAATGGTTGGTCGCAAAAGGGCAAGTCGCTAATTTGTTAGCGACCGATTTACATTTCGGTCGCTAAATAGCGACCGATGAGGTGGTCGCTAAAGTGGTCGCTAAATAATTTGGTCACTTATTCATTGAAGACCAAAATAGCGACCGAAATTAATATAATAAATCGATCGCAAAATCCGTGGTAAAGTTTTAAAAATCGATCAGCTAATATATTAATATAATTATTGAAATAAAAATTAAAATCGATCGCTAAATTGGAGACAAAGTTAACAATAATAGCGACGGATATAATCGGTCGCTAATATATTAATTGAATTATTTAACTAATAATTTAAATCGATCGCTAAATCGGTCGCTAAATTTGAATTGTATATTATAATAAATTTGTAGCGACCAAAAATTCGATCGCTAATCTAACCAAATCTGAAAATTTTCGTTTAAAATTTTGTATATCCAATTTGACAAAATTTGTACCGCTTAATTCATCCAAACATAACACAAATGAAAACTTAAGAACTAAAGTCAAATTATTCAAATCATAAAATTTGTACCGCTTAATTCATCCAAACATAACACAAATGAAAACTTAAGAACTAAAGTCAAATTATTCAAATCATAAAATTTGTACCGCTTAATTCATCCAAACATAACATAAATGAAAACTTAAGAACTAAAGTCAAATTTTGTATATCCAATTTTACAAAATTTGTACCGCTTAATTCATCCAAACATAACACAAATGAAACTTAAGAACTTAACAACTAATCAAGATTCAAAGTCTTAATATCATAAAATTGAAAATTAGTCCTCTAGTATATTGTCGGTGTCATGTTGACTTGTAGTAGGATGACTATTCATTTGAATATGTTGTAAAATAAGCTTCATCTCGCTCATCTTGTTGGCGTTGGTTGTTCCTCAACTCCCGCATCTCTTCTTCAAGTGTCTTCTCCTTATTATGCTTTGCCACCAATTCAGCATTTAACTTTTCAATAGTCTCACGCATTTGTTCAATTTGATGAAG